ATTATATATATATAATATATATATATTTATATAAATATAATATATATAATATATATTTATATATATAATATATATTATATATATTATATATATAATATATTATAAATATTATATATTTTTTTATTTTAAGGTATTGAGCTGAGAAACAAATTGGCAAACAAAGAAAACTGTTTGGAACAATAAATTAAGGCATTCATTCATTCTGTGATGGTGCTATTATTGGAAAGATAGGCCAGAGTTATAGCTTGTGGCCACTAGGAGGCAGGGCAGTGTAAGGATCAGGGGATCGGGCCGATAATATTGGTCAGCCGATATTAGCATAATTATGTAACATCTGTAAGAATTATTATAGGGTTTTCTTCTGATAATGAAAAACTCAAAAAGGCAATGGTCTGGGTATGCCAAATGATGTCTGCTCTAAAAAGCGTTTTGAGGAAAAGTTAGTCACTAGATGGCAGCATTGCAGCTCATTTTATTAATCTATTTCAATAATCAGGCAACTCATACAGTGGTTACCAGGCCCTTAATAGTATTTCAGTCCAGGGGAGGGCGATCAAAAAATGTCTGTCCCCTAGGAGGGGCATAGCAGAACCCATCACCATAGTCAGCAGGCGGTACTTAAATTCCTTAACTACCAGGCCACTGTCCTGTTATATCAGTATCAGTTGATATCGGAATAGGAAATTGAAGTGTTTTGACAATATCGGATATAGGCAAAAAGTTAATATCAGACATTCCTAGTGAATGCAATCAGAATAGCATGTAATAATAATCTACATACCAGTAGTAATAAACAACTGAGGAATAGCTAAATTAAACACACTTTAGTGATTTAATATATATGAACTGTAAGTACAAAAGGCAGACAACATCATCAGACAATCAACGCAACTGGCATATATAGAACAATAAATAAGGCAGAGCACAAACCATAAATATTTTATTCACTCTAATAGTAAAAATAACGAACTCATTCCCAAGGCGACCTAACAATCCCGTCCTGGTTCTTTGCACAAAAAATAGAAAAACTGTCCGTGTTTAGGGCTGGACTAACTCACTGGTCTTTTAAAGACGGTCCAAAGATCCTGTAGACAAGTTCTCATTGTCACCTGATTGAGGTTTACTGTTTTGAAGGAGGCCCTTGAAACCCTGAGGTGTGGTTGACTCTGTCTGGTCTTCTGTTCTGACCCAGGTCCAAGGAGCAGAGCCTGGTACTAAGCAGCAGCCTCCAGTCTTTGGAGAAGAGAGAAGAGGTTTTGCAGGATAAACTGGGATCTCTAGAGAATCAGCATCTGCAGGATGCCAGCAGGCTGAAGAACCAACTAGACCAGGCTCAGGCCCGAACCCACAGCCTGCAGAAAGAGGTACTGCACCCCCCCCGCCCCCCTACGGGCCAACCACTTTCTCTTCACTTTCATGTATTTCTGCACAAAATGTCCAGCAGACAGTGGACACGCATTCCATTTCTGTGTTTGAGCAGTGTGAGGACACCCAGTCTCAGCTGCAGAACCTTCGTCAGCGGTACCACCGAACTGAGCAGGAGAAGGTGAACATCCACCAGGAGCTGCAGGAGTGCAGGAGGAACCTGGAGTTCATGCAGGAGAACAAGAAGAACTCTGTAAGAACACAAACATGTAGACGCGCACGCGCACGCACACACAGAGTGTTCTGATGATAGTAGCTGCCAAAGGGACTGTGCATCCCCCCCTGCCCCCTTCTGCTCTGACTCCATGTTGTTGATTTGCTGATGTTGTTTTTGTCCCGCCTTCTCCACCCCCCCACCCAATCCCTTCCCTTCCCTCTCCTCCCCATCCCTGTCCCTCCAGCCATCCATTCTGCAGCCTGTCCAGACCATGATCATGGGCCTAGTCCTGGTTCTGCTCTACTGGTTTCTGAGCCAGTTATGGTAGAAAGAAGGTACACACCCACCTCTGACATCACCTCTGACATAACTTTCGTTGCTTGTATGTTCCTCTGTTCCTACCATCCTGCCTTTCCACAAGCCTGAGTTTTACTCTGAAAGACCTCAAAGGTCTCATCCAATTGTGGCCCCAGGATCCAGGTATGTCCACTGGCCTATTAAATACAGACCAGTTATTGGACAGGCGGGTGTACATCCACGTTTTTACGTGATTACGGTCAGACTGTGTGTGTGTGTGTGTATTCACATTGACAGATTGAACATATATACGTATACGTATATATGTATGTGTGTGTATATATATGTATATATGTGTATATATGTATGTATATATGTGTATATATGTGTGT